GTCATCAGTCAGCGCAGTGACGGTGGCGCAGGAGTCATCAGTCAGCGCAGTGACGGTGGCGCAGGAGTCATCAGTCAGCGCAGTGACGGTGGCGCAGAGTCATCAGTCAGCGCAGTGACGGTGGCGCGGGAGTCATCAGTCAGCGCAGTGACGGTGGCGCAGAAGTCATCAGTCAGCGAAAGTGACGGTGGCGCAGAAGTCATCAGTCAGCGCAGTGACGTGGCCAGTCTCAGCAGCGCAGTGACGTGGCAGAAGTCATCAGTCAGCGCAGTGACGGTGGCGCAGGAGTCATCAGTCAGCGCAGTGACGGTGGCGCAGGAGTCATCAGTCAGCGCAGTGACGGTGGCGCAGGAGTCATCAGTCAGCGCAGTGACGGTGGCGCAGGAGTCATCAGTCAGCGCAGTGACGGTGGCGCAGGAGTCATCAGTCAGCGCAGTGACGGTGGCGCAGGAGTCATCAGTCAGCGCAGTGACGGTGGCGCAGAGCTGGAGGGTGGAGAGTCATCAGTCAGCGCAGTGACGGTGGCGCAGAAGTCATCAGTCAGCGCAGTGACGGTGGCGCAGGAAGTCATCAGTCAGCGCAGTGACGGTGGCGCAGGAGTCATCAGTCAGCACAAATTGATTCACAAATCTCAGCTTCAACCATGTTAAGTGTAAAATTATTATTATTATTGTTGTTGTTGTTCATGGGGAAACACTAAGCCCACAGGGGTCATACAGAACCTGGGATATGACAATTTGGAGGCAGTCAGGTTCGATCCGAGGAAAGGGAGGATATGTCTACTTCCTTGGATCAAGAGCCTCTCACCGACTGCCTTTGAGGGGAAGACGTTGAAGTATTCACATCATTGCTATTGTAACAGACATTTAAGTATTGTAACAGACATTTAAGTATTGTAACATTGTAAGTATTGTAATAGACATTATAAGCATTGCAATAGATATGTATTTAAATACGTAAGTATTGTAACAGTGTGTTACAAGACCTCGTAAGTAATGCTGTACTTATTATCGTGGGGAAGCGATAAACCCGTAGAAGTCTTACAGCGCCTCGGGAATGGAAGGCAATCCTCTTCGATCCAAGGAAAAGGAGAGTAGCTCCACTTCCTTGCATCAAGAGCCCTACCCCGGCACTGACGCCTCCTCCACTAGTCACCAGTTCTATAAGGCTTGTCTTGTTATTATTGTTCACATTATATTCGTAATTGAGAGGCATCAATAATTCATCTAGAATTATTAAAGCTTTTCTACTCTTAGAAACCCTTGTGGGTTTAGCGCTTAATTATGGTTATGATAATTCTACTCCCAGAACCCGGTCTTGGACCAGGCTCGAGGTCCCTTCAACACCATGTGCTTGATTATCCACTTGTTGAGAAATATATTAACCCTTTTGTGGCCTATTTTCTGGGCTCTAGTGTATCCACGTCTCATGAAATCATAACACCATTGCAAATAAATCATGACAAGTGAGCCGTGCAACGCACTGGCGTGTGAGATTTAAGACTCATTTGCCATGGGTTCAACCCCCACCCGTTCCCTGGTTTGTATCTACATGGTTGTTGATTAAGACACGTACATACAACAGTTGGGTATCTTTACTGTTGAAACGTTTCGCTTGTACAATTTGATTCTTCAGTCACCTTCGACAGTATTTAAGACTCCATTCTCACACTTCAGTTTAAAATAGTTCCGAACCATGAAGCTGAACTCTTCTCTAGACTGAGGGACTGACCACCTCATACCTCCAAGACTGATGAACTGATTACATCATCAGTATTTGACTGAAGAAGTCTACTGTGTAGGCCAGTGGTTGCCGAAGACTGTGGCGAGAGAGGATGGCAGGTGTGGCAGGAAGATACAAGAACAAAGTAACAGAAACCTGTTAGAAATGTCCAGATTTCATGTCATCTCTGTCCCCAGTGTCGAGGATGACCCTCACAGGAGCAAATAAAGTTCTCTCTCTTTTTTGTATTAGCGCACCGCTAATATTATCGACTTTGTATATTTAAGGTTACATTTGTAAGATGCTCGTCTCTAAACACACAGTGGGGAAGTATCGTGTTTTCATGTAGATGTGTTTATATTTGCTGGATATTATAATGTAGTTGTGGTCAATGTTATGAATCAAGTTCTTTTTATTAGTGTTTGGATGTATTATCGATAAAAAATTAGGCGAGATTAAATTTGTTATTCCTAGTCTAGCCCAGAGAAAAAAGTTTGGGAACCAGTGGGGTGGGCGAAACGTTTCAACAATAAAGATACCCAACTGCTGCACACGTTTCTTAATCATCTTGTCTGTATTTTATAGTTGTTCTCTGTTGATTACTTGATCAATCAGGCTGTTGTTGCTTCCGGCCTGCTGGTCCACATCACAGCCTGGTTGAGCCGGAGGTAGTGGTCCAGCTGCAGCTTGAAGATATCTTGTTCCGGCAATTGCTCTGATTATTATAATCATAACTAAGTGCTAAACCCACAAGGGTCATACAGCGTTGCACAATCGGTCTGTTATCTGCTGATAGGAGGTTTAATAGTTAAAGACAACGGCCCACGGATGTTGATATTGTGTTCCCTCATCATCCCCATTGTGCCCCTGCTTTTCAGGGTAGCTCCAGTTTCCTGAATCAAGATCCCCTCACACGGCATCAAGGATCCCCTCTTGAAGATCAGTGTGTTAACAAATGAAGTTTTAAATTTTTTAAAATATATTGTTGATTTGGGGGGGGGGGGTAATCGCCCACTGTGACTTGATCCCAATCAGGCCATCTGGTCGTTGGTCAGAACAGTCAGGCTGTTGGTGCTAGCAGTATACACCACAACTTGTTACGCAGAGTAAGTTAATGGCTTCAGGTGCTGAAGTCACAGGACAGAATAACACGAAACCCTTCAAATGAGATCTTTTTATTTCTGTACTATATACAAAACATATATAAAAGTTACTGGAATTATTTACACAATATACACATAAATACACATATAACTGTGGCAAGCTCAGTGTGGACGTTCTTGGGTCTTTTTGAACTCTGACGAACTACACAAGTCCACTTAATTCATATTAAAACCTTTCCTCGGGTTGATGTCCAGAGGCTTCTCTCTCACACCTCTAGAAAAACAACAGCAGCTGCCAGAAACTGCAAAGGATTTCTTTACCAGAAATACTAAACCCGTGTGGGTGATTTAATTAAAGCCAGGAGCGTGAGAGGCTCGATGCTCCGTCCGCTAATCGCAAGACTTGTGTCCCAGGACGAGAGGAAAGCCTCAAGTGATCATTCTTTGGAGACTCCTGTAGTCACTACTCGTAAATTCTTTATGATTAAAAATGCACTTATATGGATCATTCAGCGCTTTTTGTGGCAAACTAATGCAATGTTCAAAGGAATTTAGAGTCGATACTACGAACAGTGATGCTTGAGTTGTTGCGTCTTCAAATTTATCTTATCGATGCATTTTCGAAGTATGAGAGAGTGAGAGTCGGGGTAGAACCCAAGGAAAGTAACTATAATGGCTTCGTATATTACACTCTACCAGGAGGCCATATTTTCAAAAATATGTGTTGGTGGTGAGAGCTTAAAACACAGTGATCCTCAAGTCACAATAACACCGCCTGTATCTTCAACACATTGAGATTAATCCAGGGCAAAAAAAAAAAAAGCCTTATGGAGAAAATTTGACCATTAACAATTTACGCTACAGAAGGCAATGTGTTGTGCAGGTCGGGGGTGATATAATGAAAGTAATTTCAGTATTTTAGGACCCCTACAGAAGACCCAGCAGGTAGTGATGAACGGCTCAGCTGTGGAAAAGCTTCCAACACCAGAGGAAACAGCTTGAAAATCTGGTCTAGTTTGTGAGTAAATATAAGACTGTACTGGGTAAAATTATCTTAGAAATAAACACGGGTTACAAGTGCTGGGCCCTGGAGGTTTTGGGCATCTGGTGTAAAGAATATACCAGTAAAAAGGACTGAAAATGCAGACAACTTAAGGTTCATTTGGGAAAGTTCTGCCAACGAGTGATCTACAAGGTTCAACACTACAATAAACCAATGATTCGTTGATAAAAATAGACTCTGGTACACAACTTGTTTCATTCACAAAACTAACACTTGTGAACATACGACTTCATTCACATAATTGGATTACTACACCAATGTAAACAAACGGAGCATTACCACGGACATCACTATCAACTACTGACACTTCTTCCGCAGAAACAAAATTTTATCTAATTCAGAGTTAACTTTCAAAAATAATTATCTTTGCGATAGTTCCATCTGTTATTTAATCATATACTTAAAATCTACAAGTTTAGAAGTCTTCAGAAGTGAAACTCTTAATACCACAAGGAAAAACAGCAAGAGAACCATTATTGTTTCTCCCCGAGGAATTTAATAACTTTCAAATTTATTTACTGTGAACTCTTATACATCATAAATCTTGACAGTAACTTATACTCAGTAATATTTACCCCATTCTATATATCTATACATTATATATATATAAAATTACAATGCTCTAAGTACTTTACAGAATGCTTTCCCTAACAGCTCAGTTGTCTTTTAACAAACATTAGTAGTACTGTATTTGTTGTTTTCTAGTTTGCAATTAAAACAAGACAAAGCGAATGTTTTAAGAGTACAATGTTCATTGTGTACCTCGTAGAGTACAATGTTCATTGTGTACCTCGTAGAGTACAATGTTCATTGTGTACCTCGTAGAGTACAATGTTCATTGTGTACCTCGTCAAGTACAATGTTCATTGTGTACCTCGAAGTACAATTTTTCATTGTGTACCTCGTCAAGTACAATGTTCATTGTGTACCTCGTCAAGTACAATGTTCATTGTGTACCTCGTCAAGTACAATGTTCATTGTGTACCTCGTCAAGTACAATGTTCATTGTGGTACCTCGTCAAGTACAATGTTTCATTGGGGTACATCTTTCAAGTACAATGTACATTGTGTACCTCGTCAAGTAAAATTTGTACCATTGTGTACCCCCTCGTCAAGTACAATGTTCATTGTGTACCTCGTCAAGTACAATGTTCATTGTGTACCTCGTCAAGTACAATGTACATTGTGTACCTCGTCAAGTACAATGTACATTGTGTACCTCGTAGAGTACAATGTACATTGTGTACCTCGTCAAGTACAATGTACATTGTGTACCTCGTCAAGAAAACAATGACATTGTGTACCCCTCGGTCAAGTACAATGTTCATTGTGTACCTCGTCAAGTACAATGTTCATTGTGTACCTCGTCAAGTACAATGTTCATTGTGTACCTCGTCAAGTACAATGTACATTGTGTACCTCGCCCAAGTACAAATGTTCCCCATTGTGTACCTCGTCAAGTACAATGTTCATTGTGTACCTCGTCAAGTACAATGTACATTGTGTACCTCGTCAAGTACAATGTACATTGTGTACCTCGTCAAGTACAATGTACATTGTGTACCTCGTAGAGTACAATGTACATTTGTGTACCCTCGTCAAGTACAATGTAACTTTGGGTGTACCTCGTCAAGTACAATTTTACATTGTGTACCCTCGTCAAGTACAACGTACATTGTGTACCTCGTCAAGTACAACGTACATTGTGTACCTCGTCAAGTACAATGTTCATTGTGTACCTCGTCAAGTACAATGTACATTGTTTTTACCTCGTCAAGTACCATGTACTTTTTGTGTCCTCGTCAAGTACAATGTTCATTTGTGTACCTCGTCAAGTACAATGTTCATTGTGTACCTCGTCAATTTTACAAGGGTAACATTGTGTTACCTCGTCAAGAAACAATGTACTTGTACCTCGTCAAGTACAAGTACATTGTGTACCTCGGTCAAGTACAATGTACATTGTGAAACCTCGGTCAAGTACAAGTACATTGTGTACCTCGTCAAGTACAATGTACATTGTTTAACCTCGTAAAGTACAATGTACTTGGTACCTCGTCAAGTACAACGTACATTGTGTACCTCGTCAAGTACAACGTACATTGTGTACCTCGTCAAGTACAATGTTCATTGTGTACCTCGTCAAGTACAAGTACTTTGGTTTTCCCTTTCGTCAGTACAACGTACATTGTGTACCTCGTCAAGTACAATGTACATTGTGTACCTCGTCAAGTACAACGTACATTGTGTACCTCGTCAAGTACAACGTACATTGTGTACCTCGTCAAGTACAACGTACATTGTGTACCTCGTCAAGTACAACGTACATTGTGTACCTCGTCAACATTAACACAGTCTTACAACTCCTTAAAAACAATGACTGGTATTTTGACATTATTTTCCTCTATATAAAAACTATCCAATATAACTTTATATACAAAATGTTGTGTGTGTGTGTGTGTGTGTGTGTGTGTGTGTGTGTGTGTGTGTGTTGTTGGTGTGTGTGTGTTTGGTGTGTGTGTGTTGTGGTTGTTGTGTTGTTGTGTTGTGAGGGGTTGTGTGTCTGTGTGTGTTGTGTGTGTGTGTTGGTGTGTGTGGTGTTGTGTGTGTCTGTGTGTGTTGTGTGTTGGTGTGTGTTTTGTGTGTGTGTGTGTGTGTGTGTGGTTGTGTGTGTTGTTGTGGGTGTGTGTGGTGTGTGTGTGTGTGAGTGGTGTGTGTTGTGTGTTGTCTGTGTGTGTGTGTGTGTGTCTGTGTGTTGTGGTTCGTGTGTCTGTTGTCTGGTGTGTGTGTTGTGTGTGTTTTGGTGTGTGTAGTGTGTGTGTGTGTGTGGTCTGTGTGTGTGTGTCTGTGTGTTTTTGTGTTGTGGTGTGTGTTTTGTGTGTGGTGGTGTGTGTGTGTGTGTGTGTGTTTGTGTTGTGTGTGTGTGTTGTGTGGTCTTTTGTGGTGTGTCTGGGTGTGAGTGTGTCTGTGGTTGTGTGGTGTGTGTGGTGTGTGGTGTTGTTTTTGTTGTGGTGGTGTGTGTGTTTGTGTCTTGTGGTGTGTGTCTGTGGGGTGTGTGTGTCTGTTGTGGTTTTCCTGTGTGTGGGGTGTTGCTGTGTTGTGTGTGTTGTGTGTGTGTGTGTGTGTGTTGTGTGTGTTGTGTGTCTGTGGTGTTGTTTTCTGTGTGTGTCTGTGGTGGTTGTCCTGTGTGTGGTGTGTTTGTGTGTGTGTGTGTGTGTGTGGTTGTGGTGTGTGTGTGTGTGTGTGTTGTGTGTGTGTCTGTGTGTGTTTTGTGTGTCTGTGTGTGTGTGTCTGTGTGCGTGTGTGTCTGTGTGTGTCTGTGTGTGTGTGGGGTGTGTATGTGTTGGTGAGTGTGTGTGTGTGTGTGTCTGTGTGTGTGTGTGTGTGTGTGTGTGTGTGTGTGCTGTGGTGTGTGTGTGTGTGTGTGTGCGTGTGTCTGTGTGTGTGTGTGTGTGTGGTGTGTGTGTGTCTGTGTCTGTGTGTTTTGTGTGTGTGTGGTGTTGTGTGTGTGTGTGTTGTGTGTGTGTGTTGTGTGTGTGTGTGTGTGATGGTTGTGTGTGTGTGTGTGTGTGTGTGTGTGTGTGTGTGTGTCTGTGTGTCTGTGTGTACTCCCCAAATTTGTGGTTGCGGGGATCGAGACTCAGCTCCTGGCCCCGCCTCTTCACTGATCGCTACTGGGTACTCCCCTCTGCTTCCTGAGCTTTGTCATACCTTTTCCCTTTAAAACTATGTATGGTTCCTGCCTCCACTACTTCACTTGCTAGCCAAATTCCACTTGCTGACAACTCTATGACTGAAGAAATACTTCCTAACTCCCTGTGGCTCGTCTGAGTCTTCAGCTTCCAGTTGTGCCCCTTTTGCCCCTGTGTCCCTCTCTGAACACCTATCTGTGTCCACCTTGTCTATTCCCCCAGTAATCTTGTATGTCGTTATCATGCCCTCCTTGACCCTTCTGTCCTCCAGTGTCGTCAGTTCCGATTTCCTTAACCTTTCCTCGTACGACATTCCCTTAGTCTAGGACTAGCCTGTTGCAAACCTTTATACTCTCTCTAACTTCTTGACGGGGCTTGCCAGGTGTGGGTTCCAGACTGGAGCTGCTACTCCAGATGGGCCTAACATACCAGTGTACAGTGTCTTGAACGATTCTTTTTAAGGTATCGGGGAAGCTATTCTCAGGTTTGGGCCCGGCGCCCGTATGCTGCCGCAGTTTTTGGTTGATGTGTGCCTCCGGTGATGTGGGTCGGGGTTATGGTCACCCCAAGGTGGTGGGGTGGTGTGTGTGTGTGTGGTGTGTGGTGTGTGTGTGTACTTCAAACCCAGTTGTATCACCTAGTGAGGTTGCGGGGGGCGAACCGACTCTGGCCCCGCCTCTTCTGATCGCTACTAGGTCACTCTCCCTGAACCGTGAGCTTTTATCATACCTCTGCTTAAGCTATGAAAGGATCCTGCCCCCACTACATCGTTCCCAAACTATTCCACTTACTGGGCTCTCTGTGGCTGAAGAAATACTTTCCTAACATCCCTGTGATTTCATCTGTGTCTTCAACTTCCAACTGGTTCCCTTGTTATTTTCCAATTCTGGAACATCCTGTCTTTTAAACCACCTTGTCAATCTCTCAGTATTTTGTATGTCGTTATCATTCCACCCTATCTCTCGTCTCCGGGGTGTCAGGTTGATTTCCCTTAACCTTCCTCGTAGGACATAAACCCCTTACTCTGGGATAGTCTTGTTGGAACCTTTGCACTTTCTCTAGTTTTTTAGTGCTTTGGCTAGGGTTGGGTTCCAAATGGTGCGATACTCCAATATGGGGCCTAACGTACACGGTGTACAGGGTCCTGATGATTCCTTATTAAGTTTCGGGGAATGCTGTTCTGAGGGTTTGCTAGGCGGCCCATATGCTGCAGCAGTTTTTGGTTATGTGCGCTTCAGGGTGTGCCTGGTGTTATCTCACCCAAGATCTTTTTCCTTGAGGTGAGGGTTTGGGTATCTCTTGGGCCCTTGACTGTACTCCGTCTGGGTCTTCTTTTCCCTTCCCAACTTTCATGACTTTGCACTTGGTGGGATTGAACTCCAGGGCCAAATTTTGGACCAGGGCTGCAGCCTGTCCAGATCCTTTGTTTGTTCTGCTGGTCTTCGATCGGTGAATTCTTCTCATCAACTTCACGTCATTGCAAACAGGGAACTCAGAGTCTATTCCTTCGGTCATGGGGGCGTTCACAAATACAGAAAAAGGGACTGGTCCTAGGACTGACCCTGTGGGACCCCGGTGGTCAAGGTGCCCACTCTGACACCTCGCCAGTACCATGGGCTCGCTGCTGCTTCCTGACGTATTCCCCGATCCATTGTATGCCTTCCCTGTTTTCCCTGCTTTGGGCCTCCATTTTTGCACCAATCTCTTGTGTGGAACTGTGTCAAAAGCCTTTTTTGCAGTCCAAAAAATGTGTGTGTGTGTGTGTGTGTGTGTGTTGTGGGGTGTGTTGGTGTGTGTGTGTTGTGTGTATGTGTTGTGTGTGTGTGTAAGTGTGTGTATGTATTGTAAAGTGATATGTGTGTAAGTATGTGTGTGTGTATGTGGGGTTGTGTGGGTAATGTTGTATGTATGTTGTATGTGGTTTTGTAATGTTGTGTGTGTATGTGTGTGTGTGTGTGTGTATGTGTGTGTATTCATGTCCATCACCTAGTTTAATCACCTAGTTGAGCTTGCAGGAGTCGAGTCCCAGCTCCGGCCCCGCCTCTTCACTGATTCACTACTAGTCACTCCCCTAAGCGTGAGCATTATCTTACCAATCGCTTAAAGCTATTATTGGATCCTCCTCCACTACACGCCTTTTCCAAACTATTCCACTTACTGACTACTCTGTGCTGAGAAATACTCCTAACATCCCGTGATTCATCTGCGTCTTTAACTTCCAACCTGTCCCCCTGTTTCTGTGTCCAATCCTGAAACATCAGTCTTGTCCACCTTGTCAATCCTCCTCAGTATTTTGTATGTCGTTATCATGTCCCCCCTACTCTCCGTCTCCAGGTCGTCAGTTGATTTCCCTTAACCTTCCTCGTAGGGCTACCTCTTAGCTCTGGGACCCAGTCTTGTTGAAACCTTTGCACTTTCTCAGTTTTTTACGTGCTTGCTAGTGTGGGTTCCAAACTGGTGCCGCATACTCCAATATGGGCCTACGTACACCGTGACAGGGTCCCTGAATGACTCCTTATTTAAAATGTCGGGAAAGCGTTCTGGGTTTTCTAGGCGCCCATACTCAGCAGTTATTTGGTTATGGCGCTTCAGGAATTCCTGGTGTATCTACCCAAGATCTTTTTCCTTGAGGAGGTTTGTAGTCTTTTGGCCCCCTAGAATGTACTCCTCGCGGTCTTCTTTGCCCCTTTTCCCAAAACTTCATGACTTTGCATTTGGGGGGATTGAACTCCAGGAGCCAATTGCTGGGGCCAGGTTGCAGCCTGTCCAGATCCCTTTGTAGTTTTGCCTTTTTTGTTGTATGTGGTATGTGGTATGGTGTATGTGTGTGTTTAGTTATGTGTATGTGTATGTGTATGTGTGTGTATGGTTTTATGTGTGTGTATGGTATGTGTGTGTGGTGTGTATGTGGTTGTATGTGTGTGGGGATTTTTGTGTGTGTATGTGTTTGTGTATGTGTGTGTGTATGTGTGTGTGTGTGGGGTGGTGTGTGTGAAAGTGTGTAGTGTGTGTATGTGTGTGGTGTTTTTTGTGTGTGTGTATGTGTGGGAATTATGTGTGTGTTATGTGTGTGTGTATTTATGTGGTGTGTATGTGTGTGTGTATGTGTGTGGATGTAGTGTGTGTATATTTTGTGGTTGTGTGTGTGGTTTTGTGGTGTGTATGTGTGTGTTGTGTGTTATTGTGTTGTATGTGTGGGGTTGTTTGTTTTGGTATGTGGTGTGTTGGTGTGTGTGTGTGTGTGGTGTATGTGTTTTTGTAGGTGTGTGATGTGTTGGGGTATGTGTGTGTGTATGTGTGTGTGTATGTTGTGTGTGTTTTGGTGTGTTGTTGTGGTGTATGTTTTGTGTGTATGTGTGAGTTGTTTTGGATGTAGGTGGGTGTATGTATGTGTGTGTGATTTGTGTTTTGTTGTTATGTGGTGTGTGTTTGTGTTTTGGTTGTGGGGTTTTGTATGTTTGTGTATGTGGTGTTGTGTGTGTATGTGGTGTTTTGTGTGTTATGTGTGTGTGTATGTGGTGGGATGTTGTGTGTAGTTGTTGATGTGTGTGTGTTTTTGTTGTTTTTGTGTGTGTGGTGTTGTTGTTTGGGGTTTTATGGGGGTGTATGTGTGTATGTTATGTGTATTTTATTTGTGTTGGTGGTGTGTGTGTGTATGTGTGTATGTGGAGGTTTTGTAGTTGTATGTTTATGTGTATTGTGTGTGTATGTGTGTGTGTGTGTGGTGTGTGTGGTGTGTTTGTTGTGTGTAACAAAGTGTAGGTTGGGGGGGGGAGGAGGGGGATTGGGACACAAGACCAAAAAAATACTTAAAATATATTCAACTGACCCTTAAGTACGCCTCAAAACACCGTTTGATTTTCATAACATGAAAAAAAATACACATTTTGGGTTTATAGTAAAAAATATGAACAAATCTTTTCACAACTAAGCCCTAAATTTTTTACATAATACAAACAAATGAAATAAGACAACGTAAGACAACATATCCTTCAACCGCAACGATCACCTCTGGGGAAGGATAACAACTAGTTCCGCGGTGGGCAACACAAAGACACCTTTTCAGTAAGATCATCCATGCCCCCAGCCACAACTACATTTTTCTTTTATCCTGCCACCAAGCCACACCTAAAAGTTATTTGACCATGCCACCCGCCCCCACACACAGTTACTTATCCCTGCCCCCACCACACACTACAGTTTTCTTTATCCATGCCACCCGCCACACACTACAGTTACTTTACCTGCCACCAGCCAAAAACTAAGTTTTCTTGATCCTGCACCAGCCACACCTTCGGTTTTCCTATCCATGCCCCCACCACACACTACAGTTATCTTGATCCATGCCACAGCCACACACTACAGTTTTCTTGATCCTCCACCGCCCCCCTACAGTTATTTGATCATCCACCCCCACACACTCAGTTATCTTGACCATGCCACCAGCCAGACACTACAGTTACCTTGATCCTGCCACCAGCCCGCACTACAGTTACCCTTAACCATGCCACCAGCCACACAGTACATTATCTTGATCCCAAGCCACCACCACCCACAGTTATCTTGATCCATGCCACCAGCCAGACACTACAGTTACCTTGATCCATGCCACCAACCAGACACTACAGTTACCTTGATCCATGCCACCAGCCACACAGTACAGTTATCTTGATCCATGCCACCAGCCACACACTTCGGTTATCCTGATCCATGCCACCAGCCAGACACTACAGTTACCTTGATCCATGCCACCAGCCAGACACTACATTTACCTTGATCCATGCCACCAGCCAGACACTAAAGTTACCTTGATCCATGCCACCAGCCAGACACTACAGTTACCTTGATCCATGCCACCAGCCACACACCACGCAGTGTTCTGTTCTAACTTCGCTTTACTTATGTTGTCTCTTCGTATCCACGTATTCTTTGCTATGTTGCTGTCTGAGCACACTTACATACATACATGTACACACTTATTACTCTTCACCAAACTTGACCAAAGTGACACAGACTGGAAGAGGCTGCAGTGTAGCCTGGTCTGTAGGTTCATGTGTGTCACCCTAGGCGCAGATGAGTGCTGCTTACCCTGCCACACACACTCATACGAACCCTGCCACTAATAGTTCAACAGGACCCTGCCACTAACAGTTCAACAGGACCCTGCCACTAACAGTTCAACAGGACCCTGCCACTAACAGTTCAACAGGACCCTGCCACTAACAGTTCAACAGGACCCTGTCACTAATAGTTCAACAGGACCCTGCCACTAACAGTTCAACAGGACCCTGCCACTAACAGGACCCTGGGGTACACCTAAGGATTCTTGCTTGAGAGACCACAAAGTCATTTTTACGGTATGACAAATGAAGCCCCAGGAATCCTTCAACATGCCAACAAAGGTTTCTCAGGGCGGCATATCGAAGTGGGAATCTGTACAAGTACATAATTTTGGCCCGTGATATACCTGTGACCGGTTTTGAAGGTTCTTCCCTTTGCAGCCCGGCCTGAGTTACACTAAAACTAAGACTCCAGAGAGTTCTCCTCTCTGTTAGGAATCTGCTGTACAGCCATGACGCACCCTCATAAGTGGGATGTACGGACACTCTTCCTTCCCTTTACCGGGCAGGCCAATATATTTACTGGCCTACCCAAAGAGGCCAGTAACTACAATGGACTGCCTGGTAAAGAGTTAACAATGACAAAATAAAGTTATTTACATCCCAATACAAGAATCTGAGGGAACACATCTATACACCACATTTAAAATTTCTTGGATATACTCAGAAATGAGCCGACAGATGTTAGCATTAAAAGACTACTTTTTTTTCCAGCATGAAAGGTCTGTTTTTGCCTTAATAAAATAAACACTGGTAAGGATGTTTTTCTTCCCTTCGTTCAATGTCCCGCACATCCGAAAGGCAAACACAGCTGATACTGAAGACCTTAAATACTGCTGCAATCTTGTACAGACATAAATACAGTTTTAAGTGTAGAAATACATTCTCCAGGGTCCCACAAGTGGGATTATCTCTCATGTGAACTCACAGCTACACTTGTGACTGTTGAGCTTAAGATAAACTAAACTAAGCTTATATTCCAAACCTGTTGTTGACGTATAAATCTTGGGCTTCATAGCCTAGCTGTTAAACCATTTTTTTGTTAAGCCTGTAATTGTATGGTGCCTAATTGTTTAGCAAAGAATGTGAGTGTCTAGGTTAATAATCCAGCAGTGCCATTCTGTCACTTTAAACGAATCTGAAAAATCCAAGATGGCTGTTACGGCAGTCACCAGTCTCCTATAAATTCCTAATGTCATATGCAGCATCATGAATGTTGAGTAATTTAATTGAATAACTTTCACATTTTTATTTTTTCAGGTCTAAGCGGTAAAGTTGAATGCTCTAATAATGACTGGATGAGTTGTAAGTGCTAAGGCTCACAGGCCAGTGTGCTAACCACACAACAGTTTGGTGGAACCCACAGGTCAAAGAAGTTCATCGGTTAACATAGATGCCACAAATGCTACACATAGATATATAAGAGTATAAGAAATATACAGCCTCACAAGCAGTGTCAGCTCATGTGATCACTGGTTGTGATACAGTGATATGTTACTGTGACACACGTAGAGGCTATAAAAGCTCTTGAAGCAGGAAATGATACAGAAGCTGTTGTCCATGAATCAACAGCCTCAAATACAACTTGCAACAGCAAGAAGTGTGAGAAACAATGTCAGATATTCATTATTAAGTTTGGCTCTCAAGGAAAGGGAAAAAAATAAATGCACATCTTTAGGCAAGACCTAAAATTTTGCCTCCGACTGCTGAGGAATTCAAATGAAAATGCATAGGGCTAATTTTAGGCTAGTATTTTGGAGGGCTGGACAAACCTCAAGACGCAGATCCAATGAAATTTCGAAGGGAGGAGAACGAGCCTGCCAAGTCTTTGTGGTGCCACCTTAACTCAAAGTGTTTGGGTTGCACCACCAGGAATTGAGCCACTGTAGCTGCAACAGAGATCAACACTGCTTATCACTTTGAAGTTAATTTTCAACTGCTCATCTTTCTTATGTAGATGTGAACGATCTGACAGGTGTTTAATCCACACGACAATGGTCAATCTGAAAGATGATGCAGAGGAGATAACTCATGATGGTGGAATCATGGAGGATATTTTATTATATAATGAAATCATCCGAAGGTGACTTCCTTTGCCTAAAAAAAATATTAGAAATTAATTTTATTATAATACTCAACATTGATGTTGATCTGGGTTTCTCGTGTTCATGAATGATCGTCCACCACCTAGGCAGCCATCTTGGATCTCTCAATTTCTTCAAGGGTGACAGAGTGGCAGCCAGTGGATTATCAGTCTAGGCATCTCAGATATTTAATATCAGCTAAGTACAATTATGTCTCATGAAATTTCAGTTTCATTCATCTTTCCACCAGACTACAGAGGCTGAAACCCCAAAGCTTCAGTATAAGGCATTCTTTGTATCAACCTTCACGTGGCTGCTACAAAACAATCTTTATATGTTAAACTCACACCAATGAGGCAGTCTGACGAGTTAAATCATTCACATAAATGCTCTTCGGTTGAGATTGAAGAGTATTTTAACACTGTTCATAGAGGGCTACAGTCTACATGTAAATTGTATACAAACTTGGGACATAATCTTGCCAACCCGGATTGTCTATGTAACAATAATCTTTGTTAGCTGGACTGAGTGAAAGTATAGCTCGGTGTTGCAAGTGCCACTCAAAGTTACGAGTGTCACACACAAGTGTTACTCGGGACTATGACAGTGTCATAAGTGCCACTCGAGGATATGACTGTGCCATAGAGCCTATAAACATGATACATTAATAGTGACATTTTCATCATGTCATTCTATGTCTTAGATTCTTAAAGTAAGCATTAAAACCTATAGTGGCGTATCCTCAGCATCCAGGCGAGGGACACTTGAGGCTCTAATAACATTTGTAATAAGGACCAGTGTCACTCGTGACCTGCAGGCTGAGGGCCATCTGGTACACCTCCACTACCTGAAGGACTGAGTACGAGTGTGGCGGCATTCTCGCCCTTGTCACCTCCTGCAGAAGGACCTACAAAGACTACCTGAAGGACTACGAGTGTGGCAGTATTCTCGCCCTTGTCACCTCCTGTAGAAGGAACTACATAGACCACCTGAAGGGCTATATACGGGTGTGGTGGCATCCTCGCCCTTGTCACCTGAAGTAAGATCTACATAGACTAGTTTAGGGCATCGACGCACTCAGAGTTCCACGTGATACAAATTTTGGGTCGGTCTCGCGTAGTATGTATATAGACAGACGGTGAATATGATTTCACTTTGCCTCGTGTCAACCCAATTGTCAAGACTATTCCATGAACTGTGTCATGCTAGGCTTAACAGCAGTCTTGACAAGTCAACCTAAAAACAATAACAGCAGATTTAACAGACTAGTGTTGTTTTACGAAGGTGGTCTTCATAGATGGTTCAACCCATTTACCAACTTGACCAACGTTATTTTAAGAGATGGGTTATAAGACCACTTTCCTGACCATGCTATTTGAAGAATTAATTTAGAACAGTACTTCGAACATGCTCTCCGAACACATTAGTCTTGGTAGTGTCCCTTGTCAGACCTTTTGGTGGTTATATTCTGGTATAGTCGTAAACATTGTGAGAAACATTTCAAACATGTGACAGATCTTGACTACCAGACCGACCCATCATGTGTTCAACGTGTCCACGCACTCACAACATACACTCAGCTCGGTCACTGGTCCAGTATACTGGAAGTCCCTTGTGTTTACACTTCTAGGGCACCCTAGTGTGGCGGGTAAAAATAATGTACACAGGTAAGAGTATCTTTTTTATTAATATTACTCGATATCGAGTGTCTGATGCCAACACTGGAGGACTTGAAAGAAGCGTGAGTGGTATCCTGTGTGAGTGCGTGAGGACGAGTGTGTCGTTACATAAGACAATTGCACCACACCACACCCTGTCACTCAACTCAATAATGCATAAAAATGAAGTACAAACCCTCCACACAAGGAAGATTAAAAAAAAAAAACTAAAATTAATAACAAAAAAAGTGTCGCAGTCCGAATAGCGACTTGTGCCTCCCGCTCTGGCCCAGGAGCTGTCCAGTGTATCCTGTACCCTCCCGCTCTGGCCCAGGAGCTGTCCAGTGTATCCTGTACCCTCCCGCTCTGGCCCAGGAGCTGTCCAGTGTATCCTGTACCCTCCCGCTCTGGCCCAGGAGCTGTCCAATATATCCTGTACCCTCCCGCTCTGGCCCGGGATCTTGTAAACTTACTCACCAATAGATAAGTGCCAAAAACATATTTGTATAGTGAATTATAAGTGCAGCCTCCCAAGGGAGTCTTTTGTTTAACAGTGCTAAACCAGAATATTTTTGTTTTTTTGAACATGAGAACAGTGGTAAATTTGGGGACATTGGCAACTATCTCGCGAGTTACTAAGACGGTTCCTTGTTTTTGTGACATGAATACTCTCGCGAACTCCCAAGGAACCGACTTCAATGGATGAGGCCATGACGTCCCGGGCACCGCCAGCAGCAACCCGCCCACAACCTACCCGCTTCAGAAGTTGGTTTCTTCAGGTGTGCGGGTTGGCCTGAAGGGCACAGCCTCCTCTGGCAGGAGTCTGGCCACAGCAGTGGTAGTGGCGGTTGAGGGGGGCGGCTGTGGGGTGAGAGGAGCACCAGCTCCTCCCTGCGTAAGGGCATGGGCGTTAGTGGGCCAGGCGGGGGCGGATTGTCACACATAACTCTCAGTCCTGCGGCCGAAGCAGCGGTTGTAGCAGTTCTTCCAGACAGCGAGAGTCTTGCTGCTCCACACCCAGAAGCCGGAGGTGATGCCCACCACCAGCGTGCTCAGGTACTTGATCATGAAGAAGATGAAGTCGGGCTTGGAGAGCGGAGTATTGTGGTCAACGCCGGCTGGGCAGTTAATGCTGTAGGTGACCCACGGTTCATCACGTGACCCACACTTCTCCCTCTGCCACGCCACCATCCACTCATCGTGGTAGGCTTGCTCGTAGAAGAGGCAGGCGACGAGTGCCGTGGCTGGCACTGTGTACAAGACGCTGAACACTCCGATGCGAACCATGAACCTCTCCAGTTTGTCCGTCTTGGTGCCGTCGTGCTTCATAATGGTTCGGATCCTGAAGAGTGAAACGAAACCCGTGAGGAGGAAGGCGGTGCCCAACACCAGGTAGAAAAAGAGTGGCGCCAGAACGAACCACTGCAAGGCCTTCACGTTCCAAAGTCCCACGAAGCAGACTCCAGTCATCACGTCACCTGAAACACAACATAAAACATCGTTAAACACTATATACAAGAACGAAACACTGGTAACAAATGCATTAAGATCAGAAACAAATACACACCAAATAATGAATGGATGAATCTTATTGTAGCCAGCTGACCCAGTGGCTTACGACTCACTTGCCGCGAGTTCAATCCCCACCCCTACCTGGAGTTTACGTGGAGAGAGTTCCGGGGGTCAACGCCCCCGCGGCCCGGTCTGTGACCAGGCCTACCGTGGTATGAAAATAAATAATTTATAATGTATACTGAATATGATGTGAATATTTCAAACCAACAGCAAGAGTTGATACGAGAGAAAACAAGAAAATAGGAGATGGATGACAAGATAATTTGAGAACACAGGTAATGAGAGATCATTAATACCGGTCATGTTTCTGGGTGATGGACAAAATGATGTTAGGGAAATTAGGGAATCACAGAAAGCACATCAAAGCTAATTACCAAATGCTTTGAGGAGTAAAAAGTCACAATACTGTTACTAGAACAACACACATATAACCTGCACACAGGAGAAAGAAACGTTTGACAACGTTTCGGTCCGACTTGGACCACTGACTAGTCACACAGGACCGAAACGTCGTCATAACTTTCCTTCTCCTATGTATAGGTTACTTGCGAAATTGAAGACTGGGATATACTGGAGGAAAACTGAGGGATACTGAGAACTACGCTGCAGTGTGACGGAGGGATACTGAGAACTACGCTGCAGTGTGACGGAGGGATACTTAAAACTACGCTGCAGTGTGACGGAGGGATACCGAGAACTACGCTGCAGTGTGACGGAGGGATACTGAGAACTACGCTGCAGTGTGACGGAGGGATACTGAGAACTACGCTGCAGTGTGACGGAGGGATACTGAGAACTACGCTGCAGTGTGACGGAGGTATACTGAGAACTACGCAGCAGTGTGACGGAGGGATACTGAGAACTACGCTGCAGTGTGACGGAGGGATACTGAGAACTACACTGCAGTGTGACGGAGGGATACTGAGAACTACGTTGCAGTGTGACGGAGGTATACTGAGAACTACGCTGCAGTGTGACGGAGGGATACTGAGAACTACGCAGCAGTGTGACGGAAGGTTACTGAGAACTACGCTGCAGTGTGACGGAAGGATACTGAGAAATACGCTGCAGTGTGACGGAGGGATACTGAGAACTACGCTGCAGTGTGACGGAAGGATACTGAGAACTACGCTGCAGTGTGACGGAAGGATACTGAGAAATACGCTGCAGTGTGACGGAGGTATACTGAGAACTACGCTGCAGTGTGACGGAGGGATACTGAGAACTACGCTGCAGTGTGACGGATACTGAGAACTACGCTGCAGTGTGACGGAGGGATACTGAGAACTACGCTGCAGTGTGACGGAAGGATACTGAGAACTACGCTGCAGTGTGACGGAGGGATACTGAGAACTACGCTGCAGTGTGACGGAAGGATACTGAGAACTATGCTGCAGTGTGACGGAGGGATACTGAGAACTACGCTGCAGTGTGACGGAGGTATACTGAGAACTACGCTGCAGTGTGACGGAGGGATACTGAGAACTGCGCTGCAGTGTGACGGAGGGATACTGAAAACTACGCTGCAGTGTGACGGAGGGATACTGAAAACTACACTGCAGTGTGACGGAGGGATACTGAGAACTACGCTGCAGTGTGACGGAGGTATACTGAGAACTACGCTGCAGTGTGACGGAGGGATACTGAGAACTACGCTGCAGTGTGACGGAGGGATACTGAGAACTACGCTGCAGTGTGACGGAGGGATACTGAGAACTACGCTGCAGTGTGACGGAGGGATACTGAGAACTACGCTGCAGTGTGACGGAGGGATACTGAGAACTACGTTGCAGTGTGACGGAGGGATACTGAGAACTACGCTGCAGTGTGACGGAAGGATACTGAGAACTACGCTGCAGTGTGACGGAGGGATACTGAGAACTACGTTGCAGTGTGACGGAGGGATACTGAGAACTACGCTGCAGTGTGACGGAGGGATACTGAGAACTACGTTGCAGTGCGACGGAGGGATACTGAGAACTACGCTGCAGTGTGACGGAAGGATACTGAGAACTACGCTGCAGTGTGACGGAGGGATACTGAGAACTACGCTGCAGTGTGACGGGAGGATACTGAGAACTACGCTGCAGTGTGACGGAGGGATACTGAGAACTACGCTGCAGTGTGACGGAGACACAATGTCAGCACATAAATCAACTCTTACGGACTTACGACAACCTGCCAATAAAACAAAAAAAAACGGTAATGTAATTGGAATATTACTGGAGGATAAGAGAGACACACAGGAAGGGTTGTATGAGACGGTAACTGGGACACCACAACACAAGAATGAGAGGGAAGGTGTTGGGAGAGGGAACTAAAAGAAAGTGAGAGGTATTAGAGGAAGAAGAGGGATCAGAGAGGAATGAATGAGGGGGAAGGATTAGAGAGAGAGAGAGGAGGGTGAAGGATAATAGAGGGGAGAAGGAGGGAGGGGGGACTACCAAGAGGGAAGGAGGTAAATGGAATGCGTTTTTTTTTTATACTACACCAAACCAGAGAATGATTTAATAACCAGAAGGCAGGGACGAAGGGTGTTACACCATACCGCGGGTGGGGTTAGAACCTGCAGAGCCACAAAACGCCAGACCGACGCGTCGGTCTGGCGTTTTGTGACTCTGATCGCGGGTTCTAACCCCACCCGTGGTATGGTTTGTTTGCAATCGTGTCATTACGATTTCGTGAGTCACGAAGGGATTACAATGTGCCATGATATACATAAATAAAAGAAGACAGACAGGATGTAACAGAATGGACAGGCATGATTGAATAGGTCCTACAGAGGCCAGAGGACAGTAAATCCTACGTATTCCCCTCATTGTGTACATCACTGCCAAACAAAACTGATGATCGTTTTATCAAAAATATAATCACACTTTTCGAAATAAATTTTCCGAAATGATTTTAATTTTTTTTCCTCGGTTTTCTTCCATCAGGTGTATAATAATTTTGTTAAAATATGACTTAAAGATGCCCGAGGATGATTTCGGGGGTATTAATACCCACATTAGGACATATAATTCCGGTAAACGTTATATACGCCATAAACTTGGCTAAATTTATACAGTGCACACTTCTGGGGATTATTATAATCAAAAAGAAGCGCTAAACCACAAGGGCTATACACTTCTGGGGAAATCAATTTACAACCTGAAAATGCTGCAAGACTGATTTTCTTCGTAAATATGGGACATTCTTGCGCTGAATGACCCACATGGGTTTAGCGCTTAACATGAATTATTAAAAATTTAAATGGATTGGTAGTGATATTCCACTGGCTTAATGTCTTAATGGAATTGTTGGTCCTGCTGGACACTCACCGTGTCTGGGGTTGTCGGCTTCCCGGGTAACAAATATAGATACGAATGTGAAAAAAAAATGAACATTCAGCAGCGCATTCTCTGATATGAATCACACAGTTTGTACAAATTAATCTGAAAGTCTGTCTGGTTTTAGTTGCATGACGCTGAGGGCTTTTTTCTACAAAGCTTCGGGGTGCAGAATGAGTTCGTTGTGTAACAGAATCTCTCTGCCACTTTAACATTATAAATGGGTCTAAATAAATCACCTGAAGAAAACGTGAATAAAGAATACATAGTGAATGAAATGAAGAGGATGGAGGAGAGGGTAAGTGATCTGTGCCCATGATGCCTTGTATCTCCTCATGAGGTGTCTAACTCTGCCAAGATGTGCAGCATCCTTCGACAACCCAACTCTTAGTGAATATGAAGCATTCCTAACATCTGTCTTGAGGAAGTCACTGAGTCTGTCACTGGAAACTCACCAATGGGATCAAGCAACTATTCCAGTGTGACTGGGAGGTATAGCGACGCGCAAGGCAACGCAGGTAGCATTACCTGCGTTGTCCTAGTGTATGACTTCCAGTGAATTAGTAAAGATAGTCCCCAAATGCTTGAGAGGAGCTGTAAAAGCTCAAGACCCAAAGCAGCCATGCAGTGGGACACCCTTACAGACTCTTCAAGCAGACCAGCTCCACCCAGACAGCACAAACAGTTCCACTGGGACAAACCGATTGTGGAAAAAATCGCGAACAGAATGTACAACAATGCCTCAGGAAACGATAGAGCTCGTCTTCTAGTGGTGAGGGACACATTAGCTGCTCCCAGTTCCTCCTTGGACACGTGGCTTGATACACAAGCCATTCAGATTCTTGTAGTTCTTCACCTAGCCGCTCCCACATTCACCGAACATAGGTGTATTTGCGTCAGGGCGTCAGCTGGCCATGGGCCAGGCTCGTCTAGTGCTCGCCTGGTCAACCAGGCTGTTGCTGCTGGAGACCCGCTGCCCCACATATCCATCACAGCCTGGTTGATCTGGCACCTGGTGAAGATATTTCTCTAGTTTCCTCTTGAAGGCTTCAACACTTGTTCCAGCAGTGTTTCTGATATCTTCTGGTAAGATATTGAAAAGTCTGGGGCCCCACATGTTGATACAGTGTTCCCTTATTGTCCCCACTACACCCCTGCTGCTCACTGGGTTTATTTTACGCTTCCTCCCATATATCTCACTCCAGTAGGTTGTTATGGCAGTGTGCAGACTTAGGACTAAGCCCTCGAGTACCTTCCAGGTATATATTATCATGTACCTCTCTCTCCTCCGCTCCAATGAGTACATGTTCAAGACTTGCAGACGTTCCCAGTAGTTTAGGTGCTTTACTGGCTCAATGTGAGCCGTAAATGATCTCTGTATTTGTTCCAGCTCCAGTATTTCTCCTGCCTTGAACGGTGCCGTCAGTACTGAGCAATATTCTAAGTGAAGGAGCACTAGCGATTTGAAGAGTGTCACCACCGGCATTATTTCCCTTGTTTTGAAAGTTCTCAATACCCACCCAGTCATCTTCCTGGCTGTGGTGATCTTTGTCTTGTTATGGTCTTTAAAAGAA